TGTGTCTGTTATTTGTGTATAAGAAGGCTATTGATTTTTGGGTATTCACCTTGTATCCAGATACTCTACTGAATCTGTCAATTAAGTCTAGAAGTTTTTTGGTGGAGTTTTTTGGATCTTCAATGTAGAGTATCATATCATCAGCAAATAATGATAGTTTAACTTCTTCCTTTCCTATCTTTATTGCTTTAATTTCTTTCTCTTGTCTAATTGCTGTGGCTAATGTTTCCAGAACTATATTGAAGAGAAGTGGTGATAATGGGCATCCTTGTCTTGTTCCTGATTTTAACATGAAGGTTTTCAGTTTTTGGCCATTCAATATGATGTTGGCTGCTGGTTTTTCATAGATAGCCTTTATTAAATTGAGGTATAGACCATCTATTCCAATTTTTTGCAGGGTTTTTATCATGAATGGGTGTTGAATTTTATCAAATGCTTTTTCTGCATCTATCATCATTCACATTCTTACTAAAAATTATCACAAAACTTATGGAGGGAGACCAATTAAGCTAGAGACCAATCGAGTCTCTAGCTTTTCTTCTACCCTGCCCACTGTTCAGGGAACTCAGCCATCAGGAGGACCTAATCTTAATGATACCCCTCAAAAGAAATGAGGTTTCACTGGAAGATCGTGCTTCAAGAGTGTGTGACTGGTCACCCAGAAAAGGAGAGGGAAACAAAACAGGAAACAACTGTAAGGTTGTTAGCAGAAAGCTCTGAGTCACTCACTGTTCTGCTTCAGCCCCATATATATCCCTGAGAGCTGTGGCCATGCCAGCTTCTACTGGCCGTGAACGTGGAGGGCAGAAGTAGTCCTACTTCCTCAGCACCCAGCTCAGCGTGGCAAATAAACAAGATGAAACAAACGAACAGGCAAATGAGCAGAAGTGATGGTCAGGGGAAAAGATGTTGAAAAGCTGGCACTGACTGTTTAACCTGAGTGGCACCATGCCTACACCACTCTCCACTTCAGTAATTTATATCACGTCTAGAGAGGAAAAGAAAAGCTAAATTGCCTCAAGGGCTTCCTTAGCCTCATGCCCTACTCATCTGCAGGAACTGCAGAAAAAGAAGATGAGAACAGTATGTTTCAAGAGTATAGAAACAGAGGACACAGAAGAAAGAACAGGCCAGGCAGATATTCCCCAGAGAATTAAGGTGAAGGTTATATTCAAGAACATATAGTTACCTTGGTTTTCTTTTTTCAAGCTTGGGTCACAAACATACCTACAGAAATGTTATTTTATGTTTGAATATATATTAAGTTCAAAGAAAAATCACCTTTTTGTCTCGACTCCCAGTGAAGAAATATTTGCTGTCAGGACTCCAATCACAAGACCAAATAATTCTACTATGCACAGAGGTGATTTTGTTGGTGAAGGCAAAGAGACTGAAAATTGGATCTGAAAAAAAAAATGTAAATATCAGTTACAAAGCAGAAAAAGCTGGGTTTTTTTTTAAACGCTCTGTTTAAGCGACAAAGACCTTGTGAGACTCAGTAATCAATTTACATACGCTCACTTTTGGCAACAGACTGAGGCCAGGCACCTGACCCCTCATCAGAAGGCTGTGCAAATGTAGTTATTTGGGAGTCATTTTTATATTTATTGGTTACTCTCTACTGGCTGATTATAAACGTCTCCCAGTAAACTAAAGGTTCAATTCATGCCTCCCAAAGAAGCCTGAAGCAATTTAACCTTACTCTGGAAGTTGCCAGATCTGCATATTAGGCTATGCAAAAAACATTAATGGACTGCTTAAATATCAGAAAAACAATTTTGTGGGATGGGAATGTAGTTCAGTGGCGCCAAGCACAAGGTCCTCAGTTCTATTACTGGTACCCCCCCGCCAAAAAAATATGTATATATATATTGGTACCGGGGATTGAACTCAGGCTCTTGTGCTTCTGAGGCAGGTGCTGGAACCACTGAGCTTTTAAATTCCCAGCCCCAAAATATTTCTTATAGGAATTAAATACAAGGTAGCTTCTAAGCCTTTTATAGACTAAACCTAAAACATGTAACTGCTTTACAAGCACTATTATTAATAGCACTTTAACTTCTTAAAAATACATGTTACATGTTAGGAAACCACTAACAATGTAGAAGAAAACACAAACGTTCTTCAACTTACAATAGTATTCATCCAGATAAATCCATAGTAACTTGAAAATATTAAAAAATGTATTTAATACACCCAACCTACCAAACACCATAGCCTAACAACACTATGCTGTAAAGTATTGCTTGTTTATCTTAGTGATTTTGCAGCCAGCTGCAAGCTGCAACTTGCTACCACTGCCCAGCATCATACACTGTATATGGCTAGCACAGGAAAGGATCAAAATTCAAAATCTGAAGTATGATTCCTACCAAATGCATATGACTTTTGTACAATCATAAAGTAAAAAAGCCCTAAGTCAAACCATCACAAATCAGGTACTATTTATAGTCTATGCTAACACACACTACTTCACAAGTTTTATAGTTCCTTTTCTCTGAAATATAATAAAGGACTAGAAATATCACAAGAGCAAAATGTATGCATGTCATATGAATGGAAGGCTTTGTCTTCATCCTATTACCGAGTTCTCTTAACCCAACAGCTGCTTAATGTGGATACAACAGACAAAAGTGTTCCACTGATCAGAAGTTGCTTTATGGACTGGGTATGGTGGCATATGCCTGTAATCCCAGCACTTAGGATGCTGAGGCAGGAGGAGCCCTGCAAGTCCAAGGCCATTCTGTACTACAAAGTGAGAACCTCTCAAAAATAGAAAGTTGCTTTACCAAACTCAGGTGAGATTATATCCTGCCTTTTCCACAATGACCAGGTTCGATCTCTGGAAACAGCTAGCAAGAACTTGTCATTAGGTGAGAAGGTCATCTGCGTGACAGTTAAACTGTGGAAAACTAAATTCTGCACCTGTTTCCAAGATGTAGTATTCCAAAGAATGATAGCTGCGTGCTCTTTCTTAGCTGCCTGTAGGACAGACATGAGACAATGAATCTGTTTAAACAGAAATAAACCAAATGGAAACACTTTTTAAAATAATAAGATAGGGCCAGGGATTTAGCTCAGTGGTATGGCTTTCTGCCCCCTTGCAAGCAGAAAGACCCAAGTTCGATCCCCAGTACCAAAAAACAAGCAAACAAACAACAACAACAACAAACCAAATAGGCTATAGATCAGCAGCACCACACCTGCCTGGTAAGCGCAAGGTCCCGAGTTCAATTTCTGATACCAAAAATAAAATAAAACATTGTTCAGTTGTAAAAAATGCAAAGTTGGTTTATCTTTTTTCTTTTTTTTTAATGATTCATTCAGGTGTGGTGATGCATAGCTGTAATTCCAGCATTCTGAGCGGCTGAGGCAGGAGAATCACAATTTCAAACTCCTGCCTGGGCAATTTGTTACTTAAGGGAAGTCTATCTCAAAATAAAAACAGGGATGGAAATATAGCTCAGTGTGAAGGTCCTCAGTTCATTCTTGAGTAACACACACACACACACACACACTCGGTTCAATCCCCAGTAACACATACACACACACAAATGATAATAAATACATAAATTTAAAATCATTTGAATATAATTTATAAACAAAAACAGGAGACAAGTGAAAGGAAAAAGTGACAAAAATCCAATATCTGTTCCTATAAAAACTGAGAAAAGCAGAAGTTATAGGGCATTTCTGGAACCAGATGAAGACACGAAAAAGTTATACAAACATCATTCTTTTTTTTGTTGTGGTTTTGCTTTGTATGTTTGAGACAGAATCTCGCTATGTAGTCCAAGTTGGTCTCAACCTACCAGCAATCCACCTGTCTCAGCCTCCCAAGTGCTGAGATTACACGTATGTGCCACTACGCCCAGCTACAAACATCATTCTTAATGGACAAAGACTAAATGTTTTGTTCCTGATATGAAAATCAATGCAAAGATTTCTGCGGTCACAACTTCATTTGAGTATTAAGACATTCATATGGGAAAGGAATAAAAGTTTTTTCATTCATAGGCAACATAAGCATCTAGGTGGAAAATCCTAGGATATCTACAATAAAACTACTAGGACTAATAAATCCACCAAGGCTGTAGGATAGAAGATCAGTATACAAACAGCAACTGTATTTCCATATGTGTGCACTGAGCAATAAGGTATGTAACACATAAGAAAAAATAAATCTGACAAAATGTAGACAAGACCTAACCCTGAAAACTGTAAATATTCCTGATAATGCTAAGATGTTAACATTGGAAAAAACTAGGAGAGGAATATGAACATTTCAATCTCTGAAATGAGTGTTGTAATCTCTGAAAAATTTTAATTCTAAAATTATTCTAAAGCCAGGTGTGGTGGTACACACCTGTAATCCCAGCACTTGGGAGGCTGAGGTAGGAGGATCATTGCAAGTTCAAGGCCAGCTTGAACTACACAGCAAGATCCTGTCTCCAAAATTAAAAAACAAAAATTCTAAAATAAAAGATTTGTTTTATTGTGAAGGGAACAATTCAAGAGGAAGAGATAACAAATAATTTATTTCTAATCTATTGAGTATGTTAGAAAGCACATAGGCTCCTTTTCTCTTTTCTTTTTTTCTTCTTTTTTCTTTTTCTTTCTGTGGTGCTGGGGATTAAACTCAGCACATTGTTCTGCCTAGGCAGGTGCAGCACTACTGAGCTAAATCTCAGGCTTTACATCTCATATTTTTAAAATTTATCAACACGTTAATCTTTGTCTTTATATGTTGGTCTACCAAATTGATGAGTTATTTTGGTTCTCATTTTCTTTGCTTTTTTATTTGAGAATTTATGAAATCTGTATATATGAGTAGTACGAAAAATATTAACGTCCATCCGTCATTCTCCTCTCTCATCTCTGCCTTCTGCAAATTTCCTTTTCTATCACTACAGTTTGTTTGGTTGGAAATTTGTTAAGACAAACTTTGTTATGTTATCAATCTATCTTTGTACCTATTTTCTACTGATAACGAATATTAATTTTTAAGTAAATTTTATCATAACTATACTTAAATAAATGGATAATAAATCATTAATATCATTCAGTATCTGGTACATATTACAAATTCTCCAACTGCCTCAAAGATATTTGTTTTTCTCAAATCACACATATCACAAACATTCCACACATCACTGTACTGTTTTATTATACCAAAGCATATATTGTATCGTAGAAAATATGCATTGGGTATATATGTGGGGAGGTATGTTTTTACACATATGTGTGCACTATTAAATGAGAAGCATGGTCATTAATGTGGTAGGATTTTGTACATTTGGCATATTGATAGTTTCTCTGCCAACCTTATGATTTCTCTAAATTACATGATTGATTTAATTCATAGTCATTTGTTTGGGAAGAATATTACGTATGTATTGGTGTTAAATTCTATCATTATGCTTATGAAAATATAATAAAAATAAGTATGGGATATAATAAAATAGAAACAGAAAAATCTGATCTTAAAAATGTGAACTCTTTTAGTTGTTTTTGGATTTCAAATATATTTCTTTTCTGTGGGAAGTTTTGTTAAAAAATGTAAGTGATACAATCAACAAGCATATGATATTTATTAAATAAATAAAACCAAGGAGTTTATAAATCATTAAATTTTGAGGACAGTTTCTCAACTATAATATGTAACTTTGTTTTATTTGTAAATACATTATTTCAAAAATATACGAAAAGAAAATGAGAAAGAACATATAATATTTGAAGATCATATCAAATTAATAATGTAATTGGATTATTAGTCTGTGTTATATAAATTTTTGTTTATTTCATATCATTTTTTGCTGTGATATATATGTATATTTGAAATTTTTAGTATCTTCATTTCTTGTCATGTATGTTTGCAATCTTTAATTTTAAAAAATTAAAAAATAAAAATAAAAAAGATAATTTCTGAGAGAAATTAGAGAACTAATAAACAGGCATGCTTCATTACATCAAAATACTCAATACTGTTAAAATTCTCTCCAAACAGATTTACAGATTCAATGTGATATCCGTAAAATTCCTGCAGTTATTTCTTCTGTAGAAATCATCAAGTTGATTATAAAATGAAAAATAAAAGGCCTAGAATAGCCAAAAATAATTCAGAAAAGTGAGAATTGCACTGGAAGACGATACTGAGTTTCAAGATGTTTTCTAAAACTATAATTATTGACAAATTACAGTACAGCATGATCCCAAAACTTCAGGGGAATAGAATAAAGCCTAAAAATAGATCCATAGCTATACAGACAGCTGACTTTAAACAGAGGCGTGAAAGCCAGTACAGTGGCAAAGGAACAGTCTCTTCAACCAGTGATGCTGGCACAACTATATACCCACATGAAAGAGAATCAACATGAAACTGTACTCCTCACCAAAATGTAAGAATTAAATTAAATGTTTTGTAAGTTTAAATATAAAACTTACAAACTATAAAACTCCTAGAACAAAATACAGCAGAAAATCTTTGTGACCTTGATTTAGGCAAAGATTCTGAGATACAAGAGGAATGGTACAAACCAATATAGAAAAAAATGATAAGCTGGGTTTCACTAAAACGCAAGGCTTCTGCTCTTAAAATGTTATTAGAGCCAGGGATTTCTCAGTGGTGCTGCCACCTGCCTTGCAAGCACAAGGTCCCGAGTTCAATCCCTGGTACCAAAAAAAAAAAAAAAAAATGTTATTAGAAATGAAAACAGAAGACACTGGGAAAACGTCAATATAGCACATATCTGATGATGTCGTATCCAGGGTATATAAAGGACTTTTTGTAAGTCAATAATAAGAAAACCCAATAAAGAAATGGTGAACATATATTTCACCAAAGAAGATATATGGATGAATAATTAGCACATGAAAAAATAATTAATCATTAGAAAAATGTAAATGATAGCTACAATAAGCTGTAACACACCTACTAGAATGGTTTAAACTAAAAAAGACTGACCATAACAAGTATGGGTGGGTGCACAGCACCTGGGAATTAATATACTGCTGGTGGGACTGTAAAATGTATATAAATACTTAGGAAAATAGTCTAAGAAAATCTTAAAAATTTAAAAGTACATCTATCTTATCAACCAAAAATTCCACTTTTAGGCATGTGCTCAAGAAAAGGAAACAGCCAGGCATGATGTTGCATGCCTGCAATGCCAGCACTCAGGAGGCTGAGACAGGAGGATTGCTGTGAGTTTGAAGCCAGCCTGGGCAACATAGTAAGTTCAAGTCCAGCTTGAACTACACAGTAAGATGTCTCAAAAAATAAAAGCATGTAACCATACACACACAAAGATTTACACACACATTTTCCTAACTAGTCTCTTGGTAAAAAGTCAAGACCTAGAAAATAAGCCAAATTTCCATTAATAAGTGAACAGTTCAATAACCTGGCATATCTACAAGATAGAAAACTACTCCACAGTAAGAAGGAATGGATTACTGAAATATACAACAATGTGGATGAATCTCAAATGACTATAATGAAAGAAACCAGACTCCTCCCTTTCAAAAGAATGTACATTATATGAATAGAGTCATATAATGTTAGATGTTGGGAGTCACTCAATCACAACAGAAAGTAGATTAGAGGTTTCTAAGGAAGTAGGTAGGGTGTGGGACACAGTGGAGATGACACATACAGGGAAAAAGAATTACCAAGAGATATAAAAAACTGGGTACTGACAGATATTTTCATTATCTAAATTGGTGGTTACTTTACAGATATAAAATACATGTCAAAATTTATCAAATTGCCTTGCACACTAAATATGCAATTTATGTTAATGGCACCTCAATAAATGTCTGTAAATGTCAATTTAGGAGATGCACATATTCGTAATAAGCCAATTTGAAAAGGGATAATAAGTTGCATGGTTGACAGTACACTAAATTAAAAAGAAATCAGCAGCACAGCTATTTGAGCTACTGAGTCCCATTTTTCCCTACAGTCCTTATATTTCCAATTATTCCTATAACAAAGTACAGCAGACCCTTAACAACACAGGTTTGAACTGCATGGGTCCCCTTATACACAGATTTCTTCTAGAAACTTGCAACAATTTGAAAAAAAATTGAAGATAAACTACATAGCGAAGAAATAATGAAAAAAAGAAAGAGTGATATACTTGCATAACATATTTGAGCACAATAGACTCTTAGATGTTACCATAAAAAATATATACAAATTTGTTACACGGTGACTGTTGTAGGCCCAAGGCCCTGTGTCTTCTTGATTCTGGCCCAAGGGAGCTATGTCCAAGAGTCTGCAGTTACTTCCCTCTAATTTTATATCCATGTGATAAATACACAAGTATATATGCAAACATATTACTTGGCATGGGACAGGATGCTACTTCATACCTGTTGATTTTTCTTGCAAAAAAATTTTTTTACACAAATGCAAAACAACAGCATAAAGAGCAGTGGTGCTATTAGTTAAAAAAATAAAAAACTAAAGCAATAACTTTACAGACACTTTCTTTTGCCACTGTAAGGAGTCAAAAGTTAGTGTTATGGCCTAGATCTAAAATGTTCTCCAAAGGGCCAGGCATGGTGGTGCATACCTGTAATCCCAGCACTTGGGAGGCAAAGGTAGACGGACTGCCATGAGTTCAAGGCCAGCCTGAACTACAAAGCGAGACCCTATCTCAAAAAAACAAAACAAAACAAAACAAAAAACCACACAATAAAAATAAAAAATAAAAATTAATGAACGAATAAATAAATAAATGTCCGCCAAAAGTCTCACATTTGGAGGGGGGCCTGGTCAGAAGGGGTGGATCACTGGGGGGATCATGACTTAAAAGGGTGTATTATTGTCTCTGGCTCCCTCCCCCCTGCTTCCTGACCACCATAACACGAGCTGTCTTCCTCTGCCATGCACTTTCACCAAGTTGTTTCTGCCTTAAAGCCAGCTGAACATGGACTGAACCCACTAAAACTGAACCAAAATAAACCCCTCCACACTGAAGTTGCAGTTGTTGAGTATTTTGTCCTAGTGACACGAAAGACAAATACAAATGTGTCTGTGAGCTGGGATGTAGCTCAGGACACCACTTGCCTGACATGCACCAGGGCTCTGGGTTCTCCCAGCAACATATACACACACCAAGTTTTATTCAGATTTTTCAACCACGCACAGGGGCTGGCACCCCACCCTTGAAGTGTTCAAGGGTCAATGGTACAGTATCTAAAGACAAAAATGTACAGCTAAAATAGATTTAAAATGCAAGTACAACCCTTTGAAGAACAAAAGGAAAAGAGAGCTTGGAATAGTATGAGTGAGGGAAAGCAGACATAGTCATCTCTCACTCAGAGTTCTGCTTACATCTTTACCAAACTTACAGGAGCCTGGTGACCCAAATAACCTATGATCAAGTAGAATCAAAAGTAATACTCCTTACCTTGCAAGCTGAGGCAAGCAGAGTCTTCGAATTGTTACAAGTAACAGAAAAAATTTCAAAGCCATGTCCATATCTAAAATTTAAAGAGAAAAATGCATGACCTCTGCATTAGTAAATGTATCTAGTCTCATACTGCAAAAATTTAGAAAGTAAAAAGATTAACATCAATCTCTCTAGCTAATACATATTTATTTTAAAGATTATATTTTTGTTTAGGCAAATATTCTGAGGAAAAATGGGGAGACTGGAGAAAAAATGCCAATTTCCTAAAAGTAATACAGCTCATTCACAATTAGATTAACACCGAGGTTTTTAGCTCCTACTCCCACTCAGCCAGTACAATAAATCATCATGGAAAAATTTTGATGGGGCCCACCAAAGACAAAAAAAAAAAAAAAA